AAAAAAGAAAAGATGACAGAATTTCATGTTTTATTTGCTATACTTTAAATTTTTAGGATGTTAATTTTTTTTCTTCTTTTTCTAAAATATATTTTTAGTGTTTATTTATTTTTGAGAGACAGAAAGAGCATGAACAGAGGAGGGGCAGAGAGGGAGGGAAACAGAATCCAAAGCAGACTCCAGGCACAGAGCCTGAATCAGGGCTCGAACTCACAAACTGTGGGATCATGACCTGAGCTGAAGGCAGATGCTTAACCAACTAAGCCACCCAGATCTCCCCAGGAGGTTAAATTTCTAAACTTATTCAGTCATACACTGTCAACTATTATGGTATTTTCTTCCAAACAATAAGTTCTTTACACTCAAAATTCTTTATTCTCAAAAGGAAGAAAATAGTAATGCTCAAGTTAGTCTGTAATTTTGATGGTTGGTGGTTGCATTCTATGAACTTTGTTTTACTTTAGAAAATATTGCTAAGGTGTTTATAGTAATTTTTTAATGTTTATATAAGAAAAAAGAGCATCCTCATGAAATTTCTATTTTAACCCACTGGGCAAAGAGTGCTGAATCTACCATTATCCCAATATTAGATTCTACCCATGGCACCAACTATGACATTTTAACTCTATAAAAGATGGATACTGTGTAATTGGTGCATTTTGTTCTTAAGTATTTAAACTATATAAATAGAAATACAAAATTAGATGATATTATCTAGGAATACACTTTTTTAGCATGATGAATGCTATTCAAAAAAAATAATACTCAAGAGTACTATAATAGAATAACTCTAACTGTGAAGCATTGGTTAAGCCAAAAGCACATTCTGGATTGCCACCTCTTCTATTTTCCATAATTACTAGGAACATTAACAGGATAGTATCAAATTTGACTAAGAAGGAAAAACTCCATAAAGAGTATTTCTTTGATTTATTTTTTGCAAAAGACCAACTTCTTTATTCTGAGTCTGTAAGATAAAAATTAGGAGCCTAGTACTTGAGTGAAATGCTGGAAATAGTACAGTAAGTAATTCTGTAATCCAGAATAGAGACTTAACTATAGAAAGCAGCTTTAAAATAGGCTTTAAAGATATAATAAATACCTGTTTAACTGCGGCCCACACAATAGTTCTATTTTTTCTGTTTTTTAAATATATCTACTGAATGCCTATAAAAGAAACTTCCTTAAATTTATTTTTCATGTTTTAATTAAGCAAGTGCTGTCTTCTATATGACAATCAGTCATATTATTTTTCTCTTACAAAGGATAGCCATCATTGTTTTGAGAAAACATTGACTATTTCTATAAACAACCACGTCTCGGTGAATTTGTTAAATGTTTCTTTCATAACATCACATTCCATATTTATATTTATCTGTACTTCTTATTATGAATTATATATGAATATATATATAATTATATATGTAATAAATATAAATGTACATATGTAATATATTACAAATGTACATATATATATTTATAAATGCATGTATACATATATGCATACATATTTACAAAGTAAAAATAAATAAAAAGACAACCAAAAATAAGCAGTTTTATTTTACTCATTCTAAATTAGGAAAGTTTCTTATACTAAAATATATGATGATTTGGCTCAGAACATCTCATTTAATCTCACTGCATGCTAAATTCTTCATCTCTTAATGAAAAATCAAACATGGAATTCATTTATTTATACTTATCATTTATCAATTAATACATGGCAATTTTTTTTTCCACAGAAGCTTAAGCAAATAGTCAAATAACTTCTTGGGGAGATTTAAGTCCTAAAAAAGAAATAAAACATACTGCCAGATTGTGAGCTGAATTCCTAAGATGGCAGTATAAAAATATTTTGTTTGTTTATTTTGCCTTCTTTTGTTACACTTGATTTTCATGGGCATTATTTGTGGTTATTAAGTGAACTTTTCACCATCTCCTAGAGAATAGATTGTTGGAGCTACTATAGTGTTAGATTTCAGCTTGTTAACGTAAGTTGGTGTTTTTACTTTGTTTTCTCCAGAATAAATATTCCTGTGGTTGTCTGTGATGCTGTTAGGGAAATAAACATGTTTGCCAAATGAGCAGTCCTGGAGCGGGCTTATAAAGCCACTAGAGTGACAGTCCTGTTCTTTACGCCAATATCAAATAAGGGATTAAATCAAGCAGATGTTCACTTTGGGCAAATGGACTAATTTTCTTTACTTTGACCTTTTCTACATTGTCTGTATGTTCTGAAATAAGAGTTCACCTTTCTGATCTTCATAAATTTATATTGATTATCTGATAACAGATTTTTCTGGTGGGTAATCACTATAAGATTAGGGATAGTAAGCTTGTCCAGCACTTAAATTGCCCCATGTCTGAAAATCACAGTGTGATGTCAATCAAGTAATTAAATAAACTGACTTTCATATGGAGCTTATGAAATTAGTCTTATTGCTCTATATACTCGTAGTAGCTTGCTAAGGCTGCCATAACAAAGTACACAAGCAGGGAGGCTTAAACAACAGAACTTCATTTTTTCGCAGTTCTGGGGGCTGGAAGTCCAAGACCAGGGTGATGGCAGCCTTAATTTGTTCTGAGGCCTCTTTCCATGGTGTATAGATGGTCATCTTCTTGCTATGTCTTCACAAAACCTTTTCCTGTATGTGTAATCCCCTGGTCTCTCTTTCTCCTTTAGAAGGACACTGGTCATATTTGAGGATCCCACTCTTTTCTGTCTCCAAATACAGACATCCTGGGTGGAAGAGGAAACAGTTCAGTCTATAACAATACTTTATCCTCCTAGGCTGGCTTTCTTGAAAACAGTGCTAGACGGTAAAGTGGCAAAGAACTCAACAGTCAGTCTGATTTAGATTCATATACCAACACCTTCATTTACTTGTTTTTAATCCCCCTCTTTGGTCAAATTATGTAAATTTTCTAGATCTTAGTTTTCCCAGCTACAAAGTGAGCTCTGTCTACTGCTATACAATAAAATTATGAGTATTAAATGAAATATATTAAGTAGATATTCTATTGCAGAGTTTCTCAACCTCAGAACTATTAATATTTGAGTCTGATCATTCTTTGTTGTGGGGCCAGAATTGCCTCCCCCACCCATTGAGAACCACACTGGCCAACTTCCTGGTACCAAAGTGCTTAACAGATGTCAGCCATAAGTTATTTACTGAATAGTTACAAAAAGCTATGCAACATTGGAGATGTTCATAGGCAAATTCTTACAATGACTCTACTTTTTATGTATAAATTGAATCTCTGGTAGACTAAGAATCATTTAAAATGATGATTAACTGTTTGAGTATGTATTTAATGATGTGATTATTTCCTTTACATCCAAGGAAATATGAATTGATCTTTTAGGGGGTTTCAACTTACTCTGTCAATTTTCATTTTAATTTGAAAATTTCCAAACATACACATATGTTGAGAGATTGTTATAATCACCCATCGCCAAGTTTAACCTTGGTTTCAACATTTTGCCACATTTGTTTTATCTTTCTGGAATGAATTTATACACCCAAAGAGGGAAAATGGGAATAGTTTATGTAAGTAACTCGGATATGATTCATTCTAGTAAAATGTCCTTCTCATCTTTCTATCCAGTTCCACTTATCGTTTTAGCAATAGACTCCATGTCTGTAGAAATACATAGTTCATTCAGTTTGAATACTTGTATCAAAAGTGTACACATTTGGGTTTTTCTTGAGTTTTACTTCCTTCATAGGCATAGTATCTGTTCTGAGAAGCAGTTCTGGCTAGACCCTACAGTGATAGTCATCAGTGTTTTAAAGTGTCACCTCTTTGGAGGAGTTTCATCTTATTGTTTTTATTTCTGTTTTCTCTGAGTGATAGTGAATTATCTGACCACATTTGGCACAGCTGAATAAAAATTTAAAAATGTATTTGAAATTTTGATAGTTTTTCAGTTACTAGTGAATGAGGAATATGGCAAACATTAATTCTCAGTCTTGAAAATCTAATTTATAAAAAGGTACTTATTACTGGACTTACAGTACCTTTTTTCATTAATGAACACTTTCTCAGAATTTCTAATAGATCCAAAAATAAATATGGAGAAATATTGGAATGCTTGTGCAAATTAAGGAATTTCCATTTTCCTTATTCATAGCTTTTGAAAAAATTTTGAAGAAATCTATCTCATTTTAAAGTTCCTTAATCTTAAATCACCAAACACGTTTATTATATCTCATGTACCTTTAGGACCCTGGAATCTCTTGAATCAAAAATTCACATTTGTGGTGCTCAATCTACTCTTCACATTTAAACCTAGTCCTATAATGAAAGTATAATTATGAAATAATTTTAACCTGCAATTAAACAGTTTTATGACTGTTAAATCTGCCTAATACATCGTTGTCTGTCACACTTATTTTCCTCCATCCCTATCTAAGCTCATCTTGCATGTAGAAATATTCATAGAATCTCGGTGACTAAAAATAGTTTATAGTTGTCTTCTAGTCACTTTATCTCCAAGGAGGTAAACATCTCATCCTGGATATATAATTTAATCAATTTGAAAATGGGAGAAAACAGTACAATGACCTATAGTTTTAAGGATTTAAGTTGGGAGCAACGGGATGGATATATATATATACATATATATATATAGATGTATATATAAATTTAAATGAATTTATATTCAATTAATTCACTTAATTTATATATACATGTATATATTTATTTAAATACTGGATTGTATTTGTTTCTGTTGATGCTTCCATTATTTGTGAGCAGGATTGCATTCATTTCTTCCCAGTGGTCGAATCAGGCTATCTCTGAGCAAAGCAAGTTCCTGTGCCAGATCCTGCATTCTCTTAACTGGTAATAAAGAACCTTGCTGGCCTGACAGGTTGTCACAGCAATTATTCACATGAAGTTCCTTAGCAGTTGTATCTGTCAGCCCATGTAGTATTGAATATTTTAACTGGCAGTCTTCCAAGACTGAACATTAATCTTACCATCTCCTATTACAGTCCCTAATCAAGATATTCCAGGGGTGATTGCACTAACATTGTTTGAAGACTACATCTACTGGACTGATGGGAAAACCAAGTCACTCAGCCGTGCCCATAAAACCTCGGGAGCAGACAGACTCTCACTGATTAACTCATGGCATGCCATCACAGATATCCAGGTGTATCATTCTTATAGACAACCTGATGGTAATTATTCTTTCCATGATTTCCATAAGTGCATCAACATCTTTTAGTAACATTACATTTTTGTTTCCTCCATGGTGAAGTGTAAATTTGTTTTTGAAAACAAGTACCAAATTTCATTATTTAGCACAATTGTATAGGATGGATTCAATTGATGTCAAATATGTCTGTTAAGGAGTATGATTAGAAACTCAGTGATAGAGAATTATTAATTTGAAATGACAATAATACATGTAGTTGGAGAAATAAAGGATGCATTCTTGAAGTGATTTATTTACAAAATAGCTATAGGAGCCTTACTTTCTGGAATGCTGGGTGAAAGGAATTATAGTGAAGCATCTACGGGGCTCTAAAAATGAGGAAGATATCAAGTTTGCTTCAACATATGTCTAGTAGGAATTCTATCAGGCCTTTCAGAATAAAGATTTGATTATTTTGCTTAAAACACTATTTGGCTTAGAAAACAAGGCCACTTCACTATTATTTGTAGCTCATTGTTTCATTGTTTTATTTTACATTTATATTTCTAAACACATGTATGTCTTCATCCAAAATGCTTCTAGTCTGTATTTTTCTGATGGACAAGTTTTTCTCTACAAGATTGCTTGTTTTTGTGGAAGTGTATCCTCAAAGTTTCTTAATGGAAAAATGAATACCATTGAACAATGAGTAGAATTTATCACAAAATACAATTATATTTATGGCCTTGATGAATTCTTGATTACAAAATTCAACATGTTAGGAAGTTGAAGCATCATTCTCTAATCCCATGTTATATTATTGGTCTTGATTTTTCTGTTTTATTGTTTCTTTCTCATCTGTAGTCTCTAAACATCTCTGCATGATAAATAATGGAGGTTGCAGTCATCTGTGCCTGTTAGCCCCCGGAAAGACTCACACCTGTGCATGTCCCACCAACTTCTATCTTGCAGCTGACAACAAGACTTGCTTATCCAACTGCACAGCCAGTCAGGTGAGTAGAAGTCCAGAAATCATTTCATGAGATGTATCATCAAGCTGTTGGATAGATTTTGCCTGAACTTTGTTTATTGGCTTAAACCATTTCAAAATGTCATCTTTCATTGTTGTTTAGCATCATATTTTATACATCATATAGAGGGTCACAGAGTAAGAGAAAAGCAATCAATGTACATCATTAGAATGAGACCTTAGGAAATAAGATGTACAAATACAGGACAAAAAGAGAAACAGAAACAAAACTGAAAGCCATTTTTACACAGCTCTGCACAGAACAGTGGTTCAACTCACGAGTCGCCCAACAGAACCATCAGAAGAGATCTGACATATTTGAAGAAAGCAAGGTGATTGAGCCATTGCTATATGCACTTTAAACAAAGAAACAAATCTCCCTAGATAATCTGTTCTATCACCATCTCTACTTCTCTTCCATTCCTCAGAGCAAGTGATGTGGAAGAAAAGATGAATTGGACAAAATGTTATCTTCTAAATTTTTTATTGAAATGTTATATGATCTAAATAATTTCCTTCTAAAACCTCTTTCTCTTCAGCATGTAATTATTTTCAGTAAGGACATTAAAATTTCTACTCAGTGGTAGTTGGATGAATTTGATATTATTACTTTCAATTTTTAGGTAACAGTCATATGACATTATAAGATCTAATTTTGTTATATTTGAGTCACTCTGTTAATTTAAGATAAAATTGTCAAAGAAACTATGATTTTTTAAATGACTAAATTTGTTCCTAGAATTCTGTATTTTAAATTTGCTAGTTTTCTAATTCTAGCAGTGACTTCATGCTAAGTCTCTTAGGATATGCTTATTTTCAGAATCAAGAGGCTAATACAAGCTCACCCAGCTTTGAAAGTTATCACTATGAGTATCACCATTAAAAATGGTATAAATGCAAAAGATCAGACCACTTTGAGGAAGGCAGCCTCAGTTTTCTCATATTTTAAATGCAAATGATAATATTTCCAGGCCGCTGTTATGGAGATCAAATGGAAAAAGCTCTTGGTACACAGAAAATGCTATTATTGCCCTTGCTCTGTAATGCAACCAGAACATATTTAAGGGGATTTGTGCAATTAGTTTAAGCTGCCATCAGGAAGTTCTGATGTGTAATTGGAAGCACAGGTCACAGTTTCTTCTTTCTTTACAAAGTGTGTTGTTCTAATTATAATCCTCTGCTTGTGTAAATAAAATATATTATCTTTAGAGAACTAGAAATTTAAGTCACAGTGAGAGGTGAAATAGGCAACTTAATTATTCCTAAAGAGAGAATTTAAGGGAGAAATCACAGGTATTTAAGTGTTTTCTTTTTTTCATGTTTATTTATTTTTGAGAGAGAGAGAGGTGGAGAGAGAGAGGGAGACACAGAACCTGAAGCAGGCTCCAAGCTCTGAGCCATCAGCACAGAGCCTGACAGGGGGCTCGACCTCAAGAACTGTGATATAATGACCCAAACTGAAGTCGATGCTTAACTGACTGAGCCACCTGGGTGCCCCAGTTTTTTAAATATTTTTAAATATAATTCTTGTTAGGGCTGTTTAGTTTAGAGAAATCTCCTGCTTAAACTCCAGGTTACTCTGAAGTAACCTCTGGTCCTTTGTTCTGGAGTGGTCCATGAGTTACTCTGTTGAGGTAATACAGTCTTATGTGACTTAGAAAATATGCCTGCTTATGCCAGTTACAGTGTGATGAGCCTTAGGAGCCTGCCTGCCAGAAATAGAGTAAAGCCAAAAGCTGCTTGACACCCAGAGGTACATCTCAAACAGGAAGACATAGGGAGTCAAATATCAGCCTTGATGTAATCATAAAAGGGATAAAACATTTCAAATTATTATATAGGAAAACCTTTAGTCATGCTTATTCATTGCAAAAAAAATCAGAAAAATGAAATTAATACCTAAATTAACCCAGGAAAAAAATTACTCATATAATTAAATTATTTCCCAATTTGGTATCGATGAGGACACAACAAAAATAGTTCTAACCTTTTTAAAAATTTTTTAATGTTTATTTATTTTTGAGAGAGAGAGCGAGCGAGCTTGAGCGAGGAAGGTGCAGAGATGGAAGGAGGCACAGAATCCTAAGCAGGCTCCAGACTCTGAGCTGTCAGCACAAATCCTGATGCAGGGCTTGAACTCACCATCTGTGAGATCATGACCTGAGCCGAAGTTGGATGCTTAACCGACTGAGCCATCCACTAACCCCAATATAACTTTAAAATACCCCAATAGTGTTTTACATGAGGTTTTTAAAAAATTCAACAATAAGATAGAACAAGAAGAAGCCAAATTGTGGGTCAGATATCCTTGTTGTCAGCAATAATTCCTGAAAAGAAGAGTCATCACTTATTGTTTCTTTCATTTTTATGAAAAACTTAATGAAGAACTTTTAATGCTATCCATTAGTGGTTATCCCAGTAAGTCTTATGGTTTATGCAGCCATTTACTGCTGATTTTCTCCTGATGCAGTGAGAAAAGAAACTATCTATTGTACGTGTCTTGCGAAAAAGTTAATTCATAGAAACACAATTTTTAGTGAAGCTTAAAATTAAAGTGAAACAAATAATATAGATATTTCAGAATCATACTATTAAATATTCTGATAAAAATGTTACATTTTAAATTTATCAGACCCAAAGATGTTTTTATTTTATTAACATCTAATGAACGCAACCAATGATACATCCCTTGAATGGTATTGATTTTTAGAAAAGTAAAGTAGATAAATCATACCAGTAAGAATTCTATTTGAATTGAAAATAAACATGAAAATTGAGTAAAAAAATCAAGATAAAATCCAATTCTTGTAGCACTTATCACTTCACATATTAAATTTAAATCATTTTTATTTCACAATAAAAAGTAAATTAAAAATATTTTTAAATGGAGACTTTTTCTATCATAAGTAAGCTTTACTTGTGTATGCAGGATATATGTTTTATACTTGTATCCATTTTAGTAGACATGTATTTAGTAGTTTCTTTATAGCAGCTTCTTGTGGGTGATAATTGCAGTTTGCAATTTATTTTATGAAGATATTAGTCTTGGAGAACATTTACTGTGACGAATGTTTTATATTTATATTTAGCATTTATCTTTTTTAAGTTACTGTATTTAAGTAAGAGAAAAATGAAGCCCAGACACAAAATAGAAGAAATCGTCCTCTGTGGGTAATGAATAAAATGTTGATTAACATAAAAAGTAACATAGTAAGTATATTTTACCCTGGTCTTCACTTAGCTCAAAACCTATTTATGTTCTTATTAAAAAGGAAATGGCAAGCACAATCGTCATATCATACATAATTCCAACAGTTGGTGTTTATTTAAATCAGGCATATGTAGTGAGTTTTAAAATATGTATTTTAGATATTTTTCAAATCTTGATTGGGAAGGCTTTGAATATACTCAGGAGGTATGAAATCCTCTTACTAATGTACTTTGATATACTGTAATGACTGGAAATGTTTAATGTTCAGGGCAATTGCTTTCAGAGTTAGCCTTATATCCCCAGACAGTCACTATCTATAAAGGTAATATATTTCCTGTGGTAATTTATGAAAACCACCATAGACATGACCACAGGCTAAGCAAATATGGGAAAATCAACTGAACAGTCAGCTCTTCTCTTGGATTCACAGAGCTCTATTCCCTCCCATATTGCTACTGGAGGAAAAAAATCACTCTCTTATTTAAGAAAATTATGTAAATCTGCCTTTAATCAACTTCATGGTATTCAGAGAGGTTCAGCAAAGGCTAGCATCAAATTCTCTCTTACTTGAAGAAAGTAGTAGTATTTTATTTTATTTATTTTTCATTTCCAAGTTTATTTATTTCGAGAGAGAATGCTTGGAGTGCATGTGCTCACTCAAGCAGGAGAGGGCCAGAGAGAGGGCCAGAGAGGCAGGGAGGCATGGAGAGAAAGAGTCTGAGAAGGCTCTGTGCTGTCAGACAGTGGGGAGCCTAATGTGGGATTTGAATTCCAAACTGTGAGATCATGACCTGAACCCAAATCAAGAGTCCAACACTGAATCAACTGAGCCACCCAGGCACCCTAGTAGTCTTGCTAATAATCTGTTTCATTAGGCAAAATTAAACCTAGGCTGTATTTTTCGATGTTGCATATCTCTGTTTGGCATACATCATGCTAAAATAAATGTCACCTTGCTTTCAAGTTACTCACATGAAAATTAGGACCGAATCACTTCAAAAAGAAAATTAATAAATCTTAGAAAATTATCAAGCTAGTATTTTCAATTCTAGATAAATTTTGTACACATGCTTCTCACTGAATTTCTATTGAAATAAAGATGAAGATAATTTGATAGTGCTGGAAAAAATTTACTAACCTTAATCTATCGTTTGGTTTTAATAATTTAAAGTAAATTTTTAATGACAATTAATTTAGATACATGTACACTCTGTATGTAAAATGTGATTTTTCTTTAATTTCTTTTACCTTATGAGAGTAAAATAACTCCTGTTTTAGGAGAAGAATTTGAATTCAGATCACCTTTCTTACAAAAAATCCAATAATAACCTTCTGAAATATATTTCTAGGAAAAAGTTACTTGTGTGCCAAATAAGTAAATACTAACATATAACAAAATAAACTAATTTCTCTATTATTAATCTTCCACTTAATGGTTATTTCAAAAGAAAGGAGTTAAAACCACCGTCTGAAAGTAATAGAATTATTATTTTTCTTATGATATTTAAATATTTTAAATGGAAAGGATGATAGAGCAAATAAAACACATTAATAAATATGTCAGTGAATAATGTTTTGGATAATCTTGAGAACAAATTTTATTACAAGTTTCCTTCAATGTTTCTATTTTTTAAAAATATAATGTTCAAACAAATCATATTCAGCAAAAAAATCTATTGCAACCTTATTTTTCACCTTTCTTTTTTGACATGCAACTATTCATTTTAAGTTATACACATTTATTATTTATAAGTTCTTTGTCAGGCTTTGTAGGGGAGGATGTAATACAGGGTGGTAAGTCATTGACCAAAATAGCCTTAACATTCCTCAGCTTGACTAAACTTTAGACAGTTTCTTCCTGACTATAGGCCCCTGAATTCCTTTTCTTAGAGCTCTTACTTTAGAAAACTTGTAATTGTGAATTATTTCTCTGCCCCTTTGAGATGTAAATTTTCTCCCAGCCTCTTGCCAGGAATGGCCTCCTCAAGGAGCTGGAGACCATCCCAGAGAAATTTAATCATCAAGAGGTACCATGGTGTCTCAGTTGGTTAAGCATCTGACTTCAGCTCAGGTCATGATCTCATGTTTCGTGAGAGACCCGCAGCTGTATGCTGACAACTCAGAGCCTGGAGCCTGCTTCAGACCCTTTCTCTCTGCCCCTCCTCCCCTGCTCATGCTCTGTCTGTCAAAAATAAATAAGCTTTGAAAAAAAATATAAGAAAGGTTATCATCAAAAAAGATAGTCCAAGCCTGTGTTAGTTTCTTGGAATTGGAAGGTAGGAGCCCAGCTTTGATAAGTACCACTTAGCAAATACAGATGGTCTAATCATGTTGACTATACTTTTCCATTAGTTTCTCCCATAGGTTAAACCCACTCCCTGCCTTTCGCTTCAGTGAAGTTCAGTACAATCTCTCTCCACTATTGCCATAGTCTTAAATAAAATCTTCCTTGACTATTTTACTTTCCAGTGCAATTTTGTACCTGTTTTTTAGTTATGACAATTCGTTTTATTTATCCTAAAAAATCATGCATACTTAATAAAGAATTTTGAAAACTGAAAATAACTTTACCAGTTTTAACTACTTTAAAGAAGTGCCCTTAAAATTTATGTGGTAAGATATTCATTATGGGTAAAGGAAGTATGTTCAGAAAATTCCATGGAATCACAACATGACAGTGCAGGAAAGGATCATCCAGACTATCTTAAACTCCTCATTTGGAGACTAAGGAACAGAGACTGATTGATGTGAATCAAATTGTCCAAGATTGCTAAGAAAATGCAATTCAGTCATCTTAAATCAAATTAACTAAATTAATTCAACTTTTCAATTAACTCAGGATAACTTTTCCTGATATTTTTGGGGATTTTTATCTATATTCAGCATTTAGGCAAGCTTTTTGTAAAGGCCTAGATGATAAATATTTTAATTTTGGCCACGTAGTCTCTGTAGCAACTACATAACTGTTGTTATGGTGCTAGAGCAGCCATAGATAACATGTAAATTGGGTAAGCTTGTCTGTGCTCCAGAAATCTCAGGAGATTTTCCTGCACAATGTGCTTTCCTGGCAGATCATTTTGTTACTTGTTGTACATTTATTCCCTATTGTGGAATGCTCTAAGACCACCATAGTTCACATTTGCTGCAAGAGAGTGAGTTGGGCTGCTTAGAGCTGGTAAGTTTTTAAGTATCTATTTTATATGGTGATAGAGTTCTTCAACCTTTCTTCATTTTTTTCCCTTAAGTTCCGTTGCAAAACTGATAAATGTATTCCATTCTGGTGGAAATGTGATACTGTGGATGACTGTGGCGATGGATCTGACGAACCTGATGACTGTCGTGAGTACATCGGTGAATGTAGGAATTTAGAATTTACAGTTCCTCAAATCCCAGACCTTGGAAATGAAAGCAAGCCCTTAAACCTTGCCTTCTGATGCTTTTCCAAAATCTTTAAAATTATAACAAAATTTGTTAAAATATCTTGGGTATGTCTCTGTTAACTCTTGCATTTAGAATGATGCTATCAGCAATTTTTGTTATTGTTTTGTCTTAAAGTTTCTTACTTGTAGAATAATTACACTCCTCATGTAGTAATCAGCATAGTAACAATCAGCATATTTTGACTGGATATATCACCAAATTAGAAGCTAAAATGGGCAAACTTTTAGAATGCCATTCAATAACTAATATCCTACTTGAAGGGATTAATCTTTAAACTTTTCTGACAGTATTAAAATACTGAGATTCCGTAAAAGTGAGATCTTTCCGATATAAATCATTAGTTTGTTCTTCAGCAATTTAGTATGCTCTTAGTAGTTGCCTTAAAATAACTACCAATTATATTTTGACTCCAAGTATAATTGGCATGGTTAGGTGCCATGTACATACATACATATATACACGCATGTGTTTGTATGTGTATGTATATATGACATGTACATATGTTCACATATGTGTATATATGTATGTGGTGCATGTATATACCTTTAGGTATCTTTGGTAACTTTGGTTGTAATGGACATGCAATAAACTTTTTCTTGATAGACTTATAGTTCACTCCATGGGTCACTCCAATACTGTCCTGTCAAGTTAGATGCTTTTCGTCAATCATGGTAATTCCCTCAAATCTCAGAGGATAGTTGCCATGACTTGATCTTGACAACTGAGTTCAGGATCCTTGGTCTTGCACTAAAGAAAGACAGTAACCTGTCTTAGTAAAAGCTAGTTTCTTTCTGTTGTAGAACTTTCCACCATATAATTACAAAACTGTTTTAAACTTAAGGTCTCTAGATAGTTACTTACATGAGATGGATTCCATCTCTTTGGTCACTATCAAGTGTATAAAACATTTGAAGTTATTTCACATAGTTCATTTTTATCTTTGAAAGCAGCAAATTGTATATTCAACGAAAAAGAAAAATTTTACAGAAGTCATTGGTTTTCTAATGTTCTGTTCATGTTTCTGGAAGGTCCATTGGTCTTTGATTTTTTACACAATTTTTGTTTTTACTATGGTATGTAATATATAAAAGTAGATTCTGTGTGAGATAGGTATCCTATTATGCCTGAAGTATTCTTTTTTTAAAGTTATTGAATTAAAAGGACTATTAAAGGAACAAACAATTATATTGCTGAACAACTGAGATTTACTCATTAAAAGAAAGTTATTAATTTCCCCATAATAAAGTAAACTTTCCTACAATAGGGTGCTTAAAGTAAATACAACTTATTTTGTAATTGATAGAAATAAAGAAATCAGTCCTCATATTAAGATGACCTTTCCTGCCCAGATTCACTAACATGTTCTCTGAGGAAATCCCACTATAATGACCTACAGTTACAGTCAGTGACACCCAGGGCTTTCCTTTCTAAAATATCTGCAGCTGACTGGAATATTGGTTCTATCACCATACCGATATGAAAAAGTAATCAAAGGTTTAGCATAAGTTTTTCACATTTACACAGTTTCAGACTACATGGTGAAAAAATATAACTTTAATGTCTTTTGAGGGGAACCAAAGAGACATCTGGTATCTAAGAGTCTCTGCATCATCCTTATCCTGGTTAAATACCAATTCAACATGTTTTTATTGGTGACATTATCTCTGTGATCTTTTAGTAAATGATCTTTTACTTGGAGTCGACGGGTTAACAGCACTGAACATCTGTAGGCATGAAGCTTTATTTTGAGAGTTATGGTGAGGTGGAGAGTGATGTACATGAGTCTGTGGAGTGTTTAGAATTCATTTGTCAGTAGCTGCATCATCAAAATTTGCAGGTACTAAGTTACTGCCAAAATTGATAATTTCACCTGAAAAGGCTGGAAAGCTTACTCCCAGTTCCACATACTTGCAAACTTCAATAATGTTATTTAGATAAATATGGTTAAGAGTAATGCATCTTGAATTCTCTGGCATCATAAGTTTTTAATTACATTTTCTATGATGCTCCAGTACACCAAGGACCATTCTAGAGACATACTTGAAAGTCAGGTAGGCTTCCAGTTATTTCCCAGGCATTGAAACTCTTCTGATAGTTAATAACCCTTCTTTTGGGAAGGTTGGTTTGGTAGCAAAGGAATATTCAAAAAGTTATATATGAAGCAACAGGAAATAGAGGAAATGCACATGTTTAGAATGTGAGAAAATTAAGTATCACATAGTTTAAACACTTAGTGTAATTAACTAATAAATGTTAGAGATTGGAGTTAAATTAAACATTTTAGAACTCACTTCTCTAGAAGTCAAGCATATATTGAGTTATTTTTTAATGTTAAGGAAAATTTTAATTAATATCATAAATATAAAAGCATAGTTAATTTTCCAAAGAAAGTTTAAAGTATCACTTATTAATATTTGGTTGACTTATTTGAATAACTAAGCAGGATATTAATTATGTCAAAGTCAGTGATTAGTAATGTACATTAGGATCAGTCAAAAGGTAAGTGTTGTATTACAGACAACTGACTTCAGAGTCAGATCTGGATCTAAATTCCAGGTCTGGTACTTGAAACTTGAACATCCTTGGGTAAATTATTAATATCCATAAGACCTAGCTTCCTTATTTATAAAATGGTCATGGTGATGTTGAGGGGAGAAGGTTACGATAGATTCAATTCATAGTTAATATGTGAAAGGGCCTAGCCCAGTGTCTAATACAGAGTAGATGCTCAATATATCCTACCTTATTATTATGATTATCGTTATCATTATATCTTTTAAAAAATGTTTTAATGTTTATTTATTTTTGAGAGAAAAAGAAAGCTAGACAGAGCATGAGAGGGGAGGGCCAGAGAGAGAGGGAGACACAGAATCCAAAGCAGGCTCCAGACTCTGAGCTGTCACCACAGGCCCAACCAAGAGGCTGGAACTGACATGACCTGACCTGATCCAAAGTCAGATGCTTAAGCAACTGAGCCAACCAGGCACCCAATCATTATTTCTTATATAAACTCAAAAGCATGGCAAAATGCATCCTCATGTGGGATTTCTTTCCGTTAATTTATGAAATGTAATCTGGAGGCCATCTGAGTTGCTCACAGTTTAGCTGTACTGTAATATGAATCTAATAGCTATCTAGATGTGAGGCGTTTTCAATGTGCTCTAGGATATGTTTAATATAATGAAATAATAAATGTTTTTAATGTCAGAGAAGCTTTTTTAAGAAGTCATGAGCTAAGATTGGCATTCGATGATACCTGTATGTTTTCTCCCGTAGCTGAATTTAAATGTCAGCCAGGCAGATTCCAGTGTGGAACAGGACTCTGTGCTCTTCCCGCTTTCATCTGTGATGGAGAGAATGACTGTGGAGACAATTCTGATGAACTCAACTGTGGTAGGTGATTACATTCTTAACTAAGGAACATAAATCTCATTCTTAACTGATTATGTGTGCACTGATTTAAATTCAGACGCAGGATTCAGCACAGATTTCTTTGTTTTTTCTATCTTTTAGACACACATGTCTGCCTGTCAGGTCAGTTCAAGTGTACAAAGAACCAAAAATGTATCCCGGTAAATCTCCGATGTAATGGACAAGATGATTGTGGGGATGAGGAAGATGAAAGGGACTGTCGTAAGTCATGTTAAAATGTTCTGTCTTGTCTTACTTCACTTGTCCCAAGTGAAATTGGCCTAAAAATTATTATTATGAACCACACAGAGTAGAAAAACATGACACCAATTATGGGTAAACAGTTCCAAATAGGTATCTATTGGAATGGGTTATTTAAGAAGCTCTCTATAAAGAATATAGAGAAAATTAAAACATGGTAGTCTTTACTTATAAAACTACCTGAAGATTATGGCAAACAGAAAACAACATGCGTTCATTCCCACCATCCTTAAGAGAAGCTGCAAAAGCCACATTACAGGTGACTGTGGTGTTTTATTCATAAACTTTTTTTGTGTGTGTGTCCCCATTAAGTAGCTACTGGTAATTTTCTTCTACTGATTAAGTAGTTACTTGAAATCAAGTCCATGAATTGCTACTGCGTTTTTCCCCATAAAATACATAATGAATACATGATGAGCAAAATAACATAACGAAAGTATTTTGTTAAAAACTGTAAATAGTATTTTACTTAATGTATCTTAACAAGCTATTTCAAAGAACAATAGTAAAATATCTTCTATTCTTTTCACCTCTTATCTCCATTCCCCACCAAAAATCAAGTTAAATTAAATTAAAGATAAAACAGTTTATATTATATACATGTATACATATAGGCACATAGATATGTACACTCACACACGCACACACACGCATGCACAATCGCACACATAGAAGCTGAACAATAGAGTACCTGTCGAGTTTTTCAGGGTTTCAACAGAATTTCTGTCAACATTTCTGTCTTGCTGAAGTTTTATTTTATCCCCCTAAAACTTTTATCAGTAAATAATGTGCAGTCACCCAGCAATTTGATTAAGATGGTGCATTCAGAATAAAGTCAGTACCAGTTCTTTATGGTTAGTTGTTCTAGGAGCTGATCCATTAAAATGACTAGGATTTTAATGGAGTTTTACATTACATTTTAATGCAGTTTACAGTGTGAGTCACATGTTCACCTCTTCCCTCTACACCTCAGCCCAAGTAGAGAGTTTGATGTTTTATGACTTTTTTTTCCTTATTCGCTAATATCTTCTGATTTAGTCTTTTTTTTCTATTTATAAAAATGCAAATGTATACATTCACTTTTATTTATCTGGTAAAATTATTCCAAAAGGCTCTGAATTCCTTATTTTAAAAATTAGTTTCAAAATATATCTAATCAACGTAAAGTTCTGAAAACTCTGATTTTTATCAAATGTATCATTGCAGAAGTATGTGTTATTTATTTCGACTAGAAAAGATATTATAGATAATAAAAGTTAAAACTTCACCTTCAGAGCCTTATTAATTAAAAGATAATACAGTTCCAGGTGACTGTCCTTAACATTTGTTTGTCTAATTATTTTTTAGATAAAATGTCTGTCTTTGTTCAAAACTGCATTTTAATAGATGTTTTCCTCTTAAGCCGAAAACAGCTGTTCTCCAGACTATTTCCAATGTAAAACTACTAAGCATTGTATTTCCAAGCTGTGGGTTTGTGATGAGGATCCAGACTGTGCAGACGCATCAGATGAGGCCAACTGTGGTGAGTGGTTTGTGACTCTGGATCTTCCTTGTTGTGTTTGTGTCACCGTCTGACAAAGCTACAGTGAAAGGGGTTTTGACACAATTCTGATGAAACTAAAGTCTTACATGAGGAAGTTTTGTCTCTGTGTTCACTGAGGCATAACAACCTCAGATTAGCTATTTTATAAAAACAATCTCAGGTTAGCTATTTTTACCTATAGAGGGATAAGACAGAAGAGTAAAATTGTTTAATGTAACTCAAAACTATTTCTAAAAGATGGATCCGAAAGGTAGGCTAAACTATCATCATCTTGTATTAGATTATGCAATTGGTATTAGCATTTAATGAATAGAAAAAATGAGACATTTCCTTTTTATTGTTCTAGACATTTTTTTTTCTTTTGCTTAAATGCATAGGACTTTCCATTCATTCAGTGATTATTCTCCATTCCTAAACATTATGAAAGAAAGAGAAAGTTAAGAAAAGGATCCGTTCTGTTTTAGTAGGTGACATTGTTCACCTAAGTTAGCATTTGTTTCTGAAACATTTATTTTTTGACTTAAAATCAATTGTTTTATTTATAAGAATTATTTATTAATGTTGCAGAAATGTAGAACATACTCATTTTGTTTAATGCATTTGATTCTATCTTGAAATGTCAACAGAAAGACAGAAATGAAGAGTTGTCATGTGTAATTCATTTCGTCAACATTTATTAAATATTAATTGAGGCTATGTTGTAGGTGAATACACAAACATGGCATTCTTGGGGAAGCAAAACAATATTTAATCTGGCAACTGATTACGAAAGGCAAAGTTTTTCCAAATTGAGGACAGTACTTCCAAGACTTCCATAGCCAAAATTGGGTTAAATGTATCTGCTGTATTCCACACTGCTCTTAGTTACCTCTTCTGAGAAAAAAGAAAATAATGAAAAACCGTTATGTTCTTTGAAATTCCACTTGTATAGGACAACATTCATGAGACATGTGTAATAAATGACAATCATGTGTCTTCAAGTCGTTTTCCTAATTCTGTCTTCCATGTACTGTCTTCAGAACATGGAACCAGAATAACTTACCACAGTATCATGAACCCCATTTACCACTTTATAGAATTGTTCTTTATAAACAATTCACAAAGCCCTGAAGTGTAGGATCACTGATATGTCCCTAACAATTATGAAAGTCTTTTACAGACTATTTTATATTAATGGCCAGTTTGCTTTTTATATTAATGGCTAGTCTTTTGTATTTTTGGTTTCCCAAAGTGAAATGGACTAATGACTTATATTAGCTATATGAATATTTTTTCTGGAATACCTATTAATTTGTTCTTATTCACTTCGGTATTATTTAACTGTTGTGGGAAAATATAGTTTTCAAACTAATAATTATCAATTGTTATAATAATTAATGGTGCCTAATATTTATTTGGTATTTACCATATAGTCCAGGAAACTTGGTAAAGGATTTATAGTCATTATCTCATGTAATCTCTACTACCCCTATTATTTTTTTAATATTTTTTAATGCTTATTTATTTTTGAGAGAGAGAGAGAGACCATGAGCAGGGGAGGGACAGCAAGAGAATGGGAGACACAGAATCTGAAGCAGGCTCCATGCTCTGAGCTGTCAGCACAGAGCCCAATGCGGGGATCAAACCCACCAACTGTGAGATCATGACCTAAGCTGAAGTTAGATGCTTAATTGACAGAGCCATCCAGGTGCCCTGATTCCTATTTTTTATAAAATGTATTTATTTTGGGAAGGAGGGTGAGAGAGAGAGAGAGAGATTAAGAGATTGAAAGAGAGAAAGCAAGAGAGAGAGCCCAATCAGACTCTGTGGTATCAGTGCAGGGCCCAGCAAAGGGCTGTGTATCACAAACTGTAAGATCATGACTTAAGCCAAAATCAAGAGTCAGACTCTTAACCAACTGAGCCACCCAGGGACCCCCTTTACTATCCCTATTTTATAGACGAGGTAAATGAATTCCAAGGAGGTTATATAATTTACCCCTAGTGTCATGGCTTGCAGGTGGTGTAACTGGGACTTGAATACAAGGTTAGTTCACACTAAAGCACCTACTCTGTAGACATGGTATAAAGCCACCTCTTTGTTTCTGTGTAAAGAGAAAAATATTTAAATGTATTCTGTTATAAAGTTATATAGAATTCTCCCGGCCACAGGTATCGCCATAACTTCTAGACCAATATCTGAACACATACATACAAACAGTAAGAGGGAGAGGAGAGACGGGAAGGTTGCCATCTGATTTGCCTTAGACCCACTATAAAATTTTATTGTGGCAGGCAATAAACTAATATAAAAAAAACTTCTACGTCACATTTTAGTATACCATTTCTCAATCTTTATTCCTCGTGGGCTAAAAAGGTTAGCTCCTTCCTTTCTCTTCTGCCCTCAATAAAAATAGAAATGCCATGTGTTTTTGCTGTGTCTGTTAACACTTTTGCAGGATAGCTCACCTATTGATACTTTCAATGAGTGGAAAAAACAAAAAACAAAACAAGCAAATGAAAACACTTCTTAAAATTAACCCAATCAAGGTAAGGCCTAATTGTTTGAGTCAGAGTCATGTGTTTCTTTGTGGGAACAGACCTTGCCTAGAATAGAAGGTAAGGTTCACTGTTTCTCAGGTTGAGGGCCTAGCAAGATGGAGAGTAGATTTGCATGAAATGCTGTTGAGTGACTGGCCTATATTCTCTGTTACAAAACCTCAGTATGCAACTCATTTTTATTGCAATTTTCTTCTATACTTTCTTATTCCACTGCTAAATTTAGAGGGAGATTCTGCTTTACTCTTGGAGTTCACCTAACTCTTAACGTCTTATTTCTCAGAAGCAATATCTATAGGTTTATATTTAATCGACTTCTATAAATTCTAAAGTTCTAGCATTGTAATTTGTTCTACCTTGATATATCCTAAATGAAACACATTTCTCTCTCTCTTTTCTTTAAATGTTTTATTATTTATTTTTGAGACTGAGAGAGACAGAGCACAAGCAGAGGAGTGGTAGAGAGAGGGAGACACAGAATCCAATGCAGGCTTCAGGCCCTGAGCTGTCAGCACAGAGTCCAACGTGGGACTCAAACTTGCAAACCTTGAGATCATGATCCGAGCCAAAGTTGGCCACTTAACCTGCTGAGCCACCAAGGCGCCCCTTTTCCCCTTTAAATTGTATAAATAATACACCAGCGTAGGGGCACAGAGTCACTGAGACCCTATAGGAAAGCCTAACAAAACAGAGCAGAATAGCTTACAAACAAACCAAATCATATTTAGTATAAGGGATTAAAATACCTTTAATGTACAAATATCTTTTAAATTATTTAATTTTTATGTTTACTGAAATACCATGTTTATTGAATTCTGCCCAGTGTAATTTTTGAATTTTTGTAAGTAATGCAGATTTAATAACTAACATTCAGTTTGTGTAAAAATGTTATGCTAATCTAGAATTTAAGGAGGCCTCGAAAACACTTTGAGTAGATGTAAATTACATATAGTTTAAGAGTCTTGCTTCAGTAGTTTAGTCTTTGTGAGAGTGGATACAAATTTTAAAGTTAAATTACATATCTTCCCATCTTATGACACAGATTTTGAGATGGCTAAATTTATGAGTCTGTAAAAACTACATTTGGCACGTTTAGATTTAAATTCATAAATATTTTAAAAACATCTTTTAGCTCTATTTCTGTGTAAGTAAAGATTTAAATCTGTGTTATGCTTATATTCATGGGAAGACGGGTTCAACTTTGTTTTCCGCTAATGGCTATTATAAAATTAGTTCTTTTCACTTGAAGGTATTTCCTCTTTCTTTACTAATGCCCAGAGAAAAATAAGCTTTGTAAAATGTAAACATATACCTTTTGACTAAATTATAGACGAATATTCTTGGTGGGCTGCTCCATTACTTATTACAATATTGGACAAACACCATATTTGAATGCCTGCCCAAACTATCTTCAATACCTCAGTCGTAGTGGCCCTAGGATTTCCACTCCAAATTTCAATTTCAAACTTTCTTTACCTTCTGCCTGCCTTTTTCTATTTTAGGCAGGAAATGCAGATTTGGGAATTTGACAAATCTGCAGTAGATTCATGCTTTGCTTTGGAATTAGAGTTGAAACTTTTCTACGGTTAGACTCTTATTATAAGATGATATCAGAATCCATGTCTCTCCATTATGTTCTCTCTTCCCAGCTGATAGTTTAGATTTTCCATTCCCTAGATGTTTGTGTAACATTCTTTTTTTCTGTTGTTCTACCTGGGCCTTCCTGGTCAACTCCATACTCACACCCCAGCTCTCTGGAACCCCACTGTTTATTCTGCCCTATCGCTCTTTCCTATGGTCATGTTTCCTGTTTTCTTGCATTCCTCCACCTCATCTAGAATTTTTGCTCTCAGGTTGGTTCAGCATCATTTGCTGCTGCTTTTGAGCAGTCTTGGTTTATTCCCTACTGCTTGGCTAATTATCTCACATTAATGTGCTAGCTCTAATCACACTAACTAGGGCTTATGAGAGGAACTTGAGTTTCCTACAGTAGCTTTGTACTACTTTGTGCAGCCTGTTTTTTCCAGCATGATACTGAACACATTCAAACTAAAAGACAGAACTGATCCTTGGGTGCTTTTATTTTCCCTTAAATGTCTGTTGAGGAAATTGGAATTCATCTATTTAAACTATAAGAATACAAGAAACATGTTTTTTTAAGTTAAAGCGAGTGGATGTTAAATTATAAAATACTTCTACCATATAGACTTGTACAGAAAGCCATGCAGTAAGCAATTTATCATTTTTAATAGATTTTAACATTTGGCTTAAGGTATATCTTTTAAAACACTCAGATCCCTATAATAACACATAAAGCCCACCTCTATCCTCTCCCCTTCACTTCTTCCCCTCTTTTGAAGTGGCTGTATATTATTCACATGTGTGTCTTTTTTAATTAATGTATTTATTAATATGTATCTATTAATTAATTTATTAATATAT